GATTCGAACCCGCGATCCCGAAGATTACAAGAATCGAGTGTTTTAACCACCAGGCCGTACTAGGCCTACCGATGAAACAGTGCATTTTAATCTTTGCAAGTAAGGTAAGAACACGATAAAAATACATTAAATCAGCTATACTCATTATCAGATTGATTTTTTAGCTTCGCTCTAAGTAGGTAGCTTGCTATGATCGGAAGTTAATATTAATTATTAACCAAAGTTTTCAACATTTTTACCTTTATAATATGCTGTTTATGATTAACAACGTTTATTTTCCAGTGTAGAGAAATGCTAATTAGGCTCTGTAGGTAAAGTTGGGAAAAAGAAAATGTCGTCCATCATGTGTGAAGGACTGGACTGCGTGGGTAAAACTGCAGTTCATCGTTACCATGAGAAACAGGAAAACTTCAGGTGATCCTGGAGAGACAAACAACAGACAGGTTTCTATAGTACTTGGAGGACCCGACCTTAGAGACAGGCAACTTGTGATGATTTCAGAGATGCCCACAGGTGTGAATAGATACCACCGATCCGTTGTAACATGAAAAATGAAACCTGATCTGGTTTATTTTTTTATATTGATCAGGTAATTTAACCCTGTGTGATCTACTGATCACGTGGCTCTAACCAGCAATTTTTTTAAGCAAGTGTAGCCTAACGTATGGTGCAGCGTAGGGAATATACGGATATATTGACACTTTCTACAACTGTCACTGGAGTGACGTATATACATTATCTACAACTGTCACTGGCTTGACGTATATACATTAACTACAACTGCCACTGGCTTGACGTATATACATTATCTACAACTGTCACTGGCTTGACGTATATACATTATCTACAACTGTCACTGGCTTGACGTATTTACATTATCTACAACTGTCACTGGCTTGACGTATATACATTATCTACAACCTGTCACTGGCTTGACGTACATACAATCTAGTACGTAATGAGGTTATTTTTTTCCATAGCCGTACCTAATTTGAACTGATATGCTAGAAAAAAATACAACTAGTGAATAACACTCATGTCCAGTACTTGAGTTACTCTTATCTGATCGAATACTTGGCGTTGACTGTCACTCTGATAGCGCACTCTAGCTTTAAAGTGCAGAGAACGTTCTTGTGGCAACTAACAACTATCGGATTTAAAGTCCGAATACAGTAGCCAGTAGGTCATGCTTGTCCTAATCTAATACAATCCTGCAGATAAAATCTAATACAATCCTATATATACTTAGGTAAATATAGTAAAGTGTTCTATATATCAACAAAAATCTAGTGCAGTCCTCTATATGTACTTTGGTAAGTCTAACACAATCCTATAGATACTTAGGTAAATCTACTAAAGTCCTCTATATGTACTTTGGTAAGTCCAACACAATCCTATAGATACTTAGGTAAATCTACTAAAGTCCTCTATATGTACTTTGGTAAGTCTAACACAATCCTATAGATACTTAGGTAAATCTACGAAAGTCCTCTATATGTACTTTGGTAAGTCTAACACAATCCTATACATACTTAGGTAAATCTACTAAAGTCCTCTATATGTACTTTGGTAAGTCTAACACAATCCTATAGATACTTAGGTAAATCTACTAAAGTC